ACTGTGTCCCTTATCTTGGGCTTTTGACACGTGTTTTTCCGGGTCAGGGTTGTGCATTTGTGTCTTGGCAGCTTGAGAGCTATGACTGTGAATAATGAGTCGATTATCATCCAACCTCAGGGAAAGCCCAGTTATTCCCCACCGGCCAGGCTGAGGTAACCCTCTCCTCCCTGTGTCCCTTCAATGAAGAGCATAAAACAGTTGGAATTTGGAGCACTGCAAAAGGAATTTAGACATAAACATTTGTCTGCTGAAGTTAGCTTCCTTGGATTTATTCTGATGTGTGATTGATTGGTTTTTAAATTGCTTATTTAATCCTAACGACTATCGCTCCAGGGGAGGCCAGATACCCTGTAGCATGTGATCAAGAAGCGGTTGAGGGAAGTAGTTTGGCTGGACAAATCAAGCGCAATTATCGTCCAGAGAAACATAGCTGTAGGCTAGGAGTGTAATGTGGAAATCACCCCCTGACTCTCAAAGCACCCAACCTTGTTAGAAGCATGATTGCTTATCCCCTATTCTCTTTGCAGAACTGCCCAGTGTTGCATAGGATTTCGCACCCATGAATTTTTCATTGCTTCTAGCAACATATTCAGCATCGCTTTGCGACGGAGAACACGCTCTTGATTTATATTGCTATTGACAGTGGGGCAGAAGGACAGACACTCAGAGGTTGCTGACAGGGCTCGGTGGTGAATGCTGATGGTGCTGGTGTCGATCTGTGAAAACTCTCCCTTGAGGGTGGTGAGGCTTCTCAGCACGTGGACACTAGTCTGGCTCCTGTATGGATGGATTTAAATTTTTGAAAAGTTTATTTCAAAACCGACTTTAACAAAGTGATTACTTTCATCTGGAAGATGTATAATCAATATGTGATTAGTATCTAATTTATCATGGCATCAGTGGTTTCGATCTTTTCAAGGATTGTGACCTTTTTCTTTGGCCTGAAGTTAGACACTGTAGGTGTGTAGTTGGTGGTCTGGTAAGAGTGATCTGTTGGAAACTTGTCTGTATGGTATCAAAAGAAAATTGAAATTCCATTGCTTCAGAATAATGAAACCTTTAAAAATCGTTAGAAAAAAACCTTTGTTTCATCTGTATTGAAGGTTTGACTCAGAAATGCGCAGAGAAACGCTCTTTCAGGTCTCAATAACCTACTTGTTCTCAGAAATATTGGTGTTAGATGTCTAAAAAGTATTATGTGTGACACTTACTTCAAAGCAGAAAACATTAGGGATAAGATGAAAGAGCGAAAAGGATTCTGATGAAAAACAGAAACAGAAGCTGAGATGCACACTTGGGTAGCACGTTTGGATTGTCACCAGGAGAACTGGGAGGCGGCATCTGGCTCTCTCCTCAGGCTTTAGGCCACTTCTGATTCTGGGTGGTGCCAGTAAATGCCACTTGACAATATCGTAGTGAAAAAGAACTTCTTTCCTGTCTCATTCTGCCAGGACATTTATTATCTGCTATTTTTTTTTAAATGATAAAAGCCTTATAAGATTCTGGATCTTTGGAGTGATATAATATGTATGAAGGGTGAGCAAAAAAAGTGAATGTTTAAAAAAAATTATACAGTAAAAGACACACTGCCATCAACCCCCTCAAAATACCGCCGCGCCCCCCCACCCCCCCCAGCTTCGAACACAGTTATCCCGTTGTTCTTGCTACTTTTGATGCAGTTCTGGAAGTCCTCTTTCCTGAGTGTCTTCAGTTGCTCTGTCGTGGCGGCATCGATGTCCTGAATTGATTCGAAACGTTTACCTTTCATGGTCATTTTGACTTTGGGGAAGAGCCAGAAGTTTCACGGTGCCAGGTCCAGTGAATAAGGTGGATGAGGACACACCGTAATGTTTTTATTTAACAGAAATTGCCGTATCAGAAGTGATGTGTGACACAGAGTGTTGTCATGATGGAGGATGAAGTAAAGACACTCACGAAAGAGGACTTCCAGAACTGCTTCAGAAAGTGGCAAGAATAATGGGATAAGTGTGTTCAAAGTGAGGGGGAATATTTTGAGGGGCGTTAATGACAACGTGTCTTTTACAGTAATAAGTTTTTTTAATTTAAGCATTCACCATGTCTTTTGATCATACCTCTTATTCATGTGAAACTTCTAAGGTTTAAGAAGGAGCCTTAAACTTTAAGTTCAGTCAGAGTGAGAACAAATTCTTTTCTGAATCTCCTGGTATTTTAAAAATAAAGAAAGGAAGAAATTTTAAAAGAATAATAAGAGATTTTATTAGCTCAGAGGCCCCATCAGCAGTTCAACATCAGCATTAGAAGCTGGGACTTCATTGTATTTTGCTCTTTCTTTCCAAGGAGTTTCATCTGTTTTCTGTCAGGTAACCTAGTTGTTTTATTGGAAATGGTAGAGGAGCACATTGTGTGATCATGGGAACAAATAGAACCTGTCCTTGTGGAACATCCGTTTGTCCCAGACATCACTGTGCTTTTTCAAATAATGAAGTCATTACAGTAGTGTTATGCTGGGTACATAGCATTTTCTTATAAAACTAGATTTAGGTTGTGCTAGACTTAAAGGATAAGCCGGGAGAACTGAAACAATTCCTCCTCTTAGTAGAACAGTGTGCTGAGGAATAGCAGGTAGCCACAGGAAGTCTTGCTTCTACTTTTGATGAAGTTTGAGGAATGCTTTCACTCCCACTTCTCCTGTTTCCAAGCAAAGTCAGGCCTGTCTTGCTCCATCCTGATACCACTGCTTATCTTTGCCATAGGAATGATTTAGGACATCTTTGTGGCTGTAAAAGAGGAAGAAGTCAGGGAAGATAAGTCCTAAGACTATTTCTTACTCCCTTATCTGATCTTTTATAATGCTGGCTACTGCAGCAATATTCTTAGCAACCCTCCCCTCACTTTGTTACCTTACTCACTCACCCACTTCCCCACCCGCCCCAGCCCCTCCACCCCTAGCAGCCAAGGCCAGTGAGTTCTTCACATCAGAGTTTCTAGGGATTTATTGAGGCCAAAGGCAGAGGTCACTTCTCTCAGTAGTAGCTAGTTAGGAGTCATGGATGCTGGTGTAGGAGGCAGTAGAGAGAGCTAGACCGAGCTTGTGTTATTTACTAATATAACCCTTTTAAAGAGAAAGTGATAAATTCAATATTTGTGTTTTCCCTCTTAGGTTAATGAGTGAATAATGTATTATAGATTAGGTTATGTTACATCTGTTCCCCAACAGTATTTCTGTGTTAATGTCCTTTAGACATCCTTATACGTTTTTATTCTACCAATGATGGGTAGGTATTCAGAAGCAAACAAAGGATCCTGATTGGACGAGGCTGTGACCATCAGAACAAGAATCTCACCAATTTTGATGCCATGCCACTAGCAGCTCATGAGCAAACATGGCCACCTTGCTGGGTTGGACTCTCTTATAACCCCTTCAGCTAGATACCTGCCTAAGGAGCTCACAAATTAAACAGCCCCCATGCCTCTGGAACCTTTTCATGGTAGAGTACTGTAAGGGGAGAAAATCGTGCTCCCCAACCCGACAGTACCTTGATTTCTGCCACTTGGCCTCGTTTGAACCCTTTATCACTCCCCTGGTGATCACTGACATACAGTCCTATGTTTGCTATTGTCGGTTGCAGCAAGAAAGTTCTAGTTTTGGAATGTACCATGCACTTTTGTTCATTTTGTACTATTGCAAACTTTTCTTCTTGCTTCTTTCTGGGATTTTTCTTTCTTTCTTTCTACTTCATTCCTCTATTCTCTAAAGACCATTTCCCTTCACTCACTGTGCTACTCAAAGTGGCATAGCACAGTGGTTAGGAGCTATGGGTTCTTAGTCAGAAGACCTGGGATCAAGTCCCGACTCTGCTGTTTACCAGCTGTGTTACCTTGAACAAGTTAGTTAATGACATTTGGCATTGACTCCCTTTTGGGGATACTAACAGTACTTTCCTCTAGGGTTGTAAGGCTTAAGTGAGATTTACGAGACACTCACAAGAGTGGCCGACACTCAATGAATGTTAGCCCTTGTTATTAATATTTTTAATATTAAAAATAATTTTATGACTTAAAACATTGCCCCAGTGTAATTGACTACCAGATATTCACCTATAGTTGTGACCTGTCTTCCACATTTTAGTTTATGTTTGCAGCTGCCTCCCGGACATCTCCCTTAGTTTCCTTTGGCACCTCAAATGCAACATGGCGAAAGCTTAATTCATTATCTCTCATCAGAATTTATCCACCACATTTCTGCTAATGGTATCATGATCTCATAGTTTTCTCAGTCTTCTAATTTAGGACTAATCTTAGACTCTTTCCTTATCCTAAGGAGAAAATCATGAATGTGCACAGATTTAGTACAAAGTGTTTGTTGTTTATAATTTTAAGTAGTTAAGAATAAGAGATTGGTTAAATAAGCTATGTTACATTTATACAATGGAATTCTCTATAACCATTAAAATCACATAGAAGAATATTCAATCATATGGAAAGAAATATTAGTGTCAAGTTGAATTATAATACAATATGTACAGTAAAATTTCATTTGATTTTTAGAAGAACATGGATGGATGCATAGATAAAAGATGAGAAAAATAGCCACTGAAAAAATTTTGTTGCAGCTTTTCTGTCTTGTAGGATTATGAGTAACTTTCAAATTTTAATTTTTTTGCCTTGCAAATTTTCTAAAATCATCCATATAAGGAAAAATCCTCCTCAAATTTAGAGAAAAATGAGATAGGTGATGTCACAGACTCTTGCAAATACTATACTTTATTACCTCTCAACAATGGCTGGGAACAGTGCTGGATACATAGTATGCACTTACTAAATATTTTTTGTATGGTAAATGAAATAGTGTTATCTTTCTTGCATTTTTAGAAATAACTTTGTAAAGGTAAGAGTGCTTAATGATTTCTTTGAAAAATGTATTTTTGTTTGGAAGGAAGATTCTCAATAAACATAAAATAAACTAGACAGAGTGTGGTGGTTGTTTTCTAATATTATGTAACTTATCATTTCAGAGGCCAGTGTGACCAAAAGAGGAGCATTTGGAACTAATTCCTCAGATAACAGATTTACTTCAATACAATTTACTCATGAAAATGAACCAAATGATCACTGTCTTAGAAATAAAGCCATCTTTCTTCGTACCTCATCACAAAGCTCAGAAGAGGAACAGGTAATGCCATAGCATCCTTATAGAAACAGGCTGGGGGGAAAAAATCCTTCATGAATTGAAAAAGAATCCGTAAGAACTAAGACACATTGGACAGCTATTGGATGAATAACTCAGACTCCAAATTCCAGAAGGGATTCCATTGGATGCTTTATTGAAAATCATTATTGCATATCATGATTTCAGCAGCTGACTTTTGGGATGGTAACTTGCTCATCCCCAATTTTTGTTAAAACCCTTTTAAGACACTGCCATCTACAAATTCTTCTTGAAATTATTTATATATTTTAACTTGTCCTCTATTTGGCACAGAAGAATTCCTTTTTAAATTCTCTGTGTAAATCGGGAGTTTCTTTCACCTGTTCTGGATTCACCCCTTTTGAACTTAAAGTAAAAGCTGTTATGTTGTTTTTTCCAAGATTTGGTCAATAAGCTTTGTATGCGCTTTCCCTAATCTTCAAGACTTAATAGACTACAGTCATATTCTCCTTAGCTATGCTTCTTAACTATCAAGAAATCCATGTGGACGCTGTTCTACTTCTCAAGCCATTTGAGTTTCTGGTTTCCACTTCATCATGTCTTCCCTGTGATATTGTGGACAGAACTGTATTTGGGATTGTGGTTTTATACAAGGGAACAAAAATCTCTGCATTAGAAATGTGTTTATATATAGCAGAGGCTATATATTGGGTTGTCGGAAAAGTCATGATACATTTTTCTATGTTTTTCATTGCAAAAATGCGTCATGACTTTTCTGACAACCCAATATATAGAGAGATGATTGTGAGACAAGAACGTTTTTCCCTAGAGGATTTATTGTCTACTGGCAATCTTTAGCAACTGGAATTATATTATCTATTGAGTCTTTGTCCAGCATATGAGAGGCAAAAAATTGTTCAATAGCATCGTTTTCTAATAACTTGAAAAAGTTGTATTAGCATTCTCAGATTGGTCATTCAAAGGTTCATTGGGATGAAATGGGAGGCGGGATAATGAGGTGGGGAGTTTCTGTTTTACACATGAAGAAAATGAGGTTAAATAATCGACTTAGGTCACACTGTGGATGAATCTAGAGACTGGGAGTCGAAGTTAGACCTCTGGAAACCTGTTCCCAACACCTCTGCTCTGATTTAGTGACTCTGTTTCATCATGCATAGCCAATTTGCAAAAACTGGAAGAGTTTTATCATCTGAAGGGTTACAAGATCAGTTAATTTATTTTTGGTTGTTTCATTTTTCTCATCAATATGTCCTCACTGTTTTTTTCAGATAGTGATGGAGGAGGGCCAAAAAGTTGGCAGTTCCTTTCAAGGTGATGTGAATTGGGCAGGAACGGTGAAGGTAAGGCATGGTTCAGTTTTCTTCCATGGCAGTCTGTCCACCCCCAACCGCCACTTTCCCCCAAAAAAAGAAAACATAAAAACAAAAAAAACACAGAACTCATTTGCTGTCTCATACAAGTTGGAGAATTCATCAGATTTTGTCCTTACACTTTTCTTTTAAATTGGTGTTTGAGTACCTTAAACTATCCATGGTTTGGCTGGATAGTTTAATAAATGGAAGGGGTGCTTTGATAGGGAAGCATGACTCCAGTCCCTCTTAGCATATACTATTAAGACAACTGACAATATAACAGATTCTCACATTTTAGTACTGAAACCAGCATATGGAAGATAAATCTTTGCTGTCACTTGGATGCCAAGAAATAACTGCAGTTATATACTGACAAGCGATGGAAGCTACCATTTTTAATTCCTGTATAAGAGCCATGGTCTGGCAAATAGAGCTGAAGGAAGAAAGACCCAGGCTTTCTTTGGAATTCCAATTATGAGATCTAAGCTTGCAATTTTAAGGTAGTTTGTTATGTACATGTTTTAGGTTATAAGCATAAAAGGCATTTTGACATTATGCCTTTTGCTAGGTCTCCTTTGAGCCAGTGGTGAAATCATTTTCTTATCTATACTCTTTGTTATTCACCTGAGATGAATTAGTTCATGTCTGAAATGTTACCATTTTGTTAATCTAAATGTCTCATTGTCAGCTTGCAGTGGAAAGCAGTATTCCACGTGGAATAGTTTTTCATTGAAATGTTGCTCTTGTGTCTGTAAAGGTCATTTGCTCTGCTTTTTACCTTTGAAGTAATTTTCAGTTGTATTTGCTGTAAAGAGAGAACACTTGAGTTTTTTGCCCTGCTCACCTCTCTTGTGATTTACCTGGGGCAAGATGATTTTGTTTTGAATGAACCCTTCTTTCCCTACTTTCTTTCGTTTTTTTTCTCTCTGGCTCTTCAGAGTGAAAAGCATACTGTTAGGATAATAGCCAGGCCCACACCCATCCTTTGCTTGAGAAGCAAAAGCAATAAAACAAACAGCAACAACAACAGCAACAAAAAACAGAGATACTGTTTTGGACTGTCTTGGTGGTGGTGTATATTCTGGGATAGAATCTGGAACAAAGCCCCTTTTGAAAAACTCCCCAGACGGTTTCTTCCCTTTCAGTATAGGGATCTTACTATGGTGCCTACAAAATCCAGGCCAACTTCCAAATGGACTGCTTCTTTCAGATGCCTCTGGGAAGCCCAGTGGCACAGAGACCTTTAGCTGGAACTCAAAAGTTAATGAGAAAATTAGATTCTGTTGCTTACTTGAGTGTTTGTGGAAGTGGATTCACTGATTCTTAAATGCATTTTTTTCTTTAGGTCTAATATGCGTAAAAATGATGTTATTTCTTTTCTAGGTAGACAATTTCCTAGAGATAGAAGATTTGGATATGGATGAAGAGATGAAGCCTCAAATGAGCAAGGGTATGCCTTCTGTTTCTTCTTTATACTGATTGACCTCTTTCTAGAAGCTACAAATAAGACTTTAGACAGCTTTTCTTTCATTTTGGCAATCCTACCTCCATCTTCCCTGAGATAGGGAAAACTGGAGTCCTGCAATTTCTTTTTCAATGACAGTGATTTCAAGCGAGAGGTCAAAGCTGATGAAGGTTGTAAAGTCTTTTGTCTTAAATGGAATAAAGATCCCTCCCTATCCACCACCAATTCATGGGTGTGATTGATTTTTAGGCATTTGTCTCAAGTAAAGTCATTTAAGTCAAACCCTTATTTCTTTGAAGCACCATGTTATAAATTGAGATTATTTTTGAGTGATACATACTCGTAAAACATCAATTGATCATAAAAATATCAGAATTGATCATAAAATAAACAAAATCTAAATCTTTGCTTTCATAAATATTTATTAAATATGTAAACCAATAAACCAAACACTTAAGAGTGAAGATATATCTTGAATGTTTCTTCTGGGGCAATTTCCCACGTACGCTGGGCTAGGTGAGGCTTAATGCTAGTTCATTGATGTTTGGTAGACGAGGCCTTTTTCCTTTCTTGGTTAACATTTCTGTGTAAGCATAGGTATACTTTTTTGAAATATGTTCAAAATTAGAGTTATTTGCTTTGAAAACTCTCATTCCTAATTTAATATGCAAGAATATCTCAAAGTCAATGTTGAATGTTAGGGAAGGGTCAGTTTCCTTGGGGGTTTGGTGGTTGGCATTTAAGTGCTGGATACAGTCTTTAGGTAGTCATAAACATGAATGATGGCCATTACTGTTGGATGGGGGTTATTAATAATCAGGCAGGAGGTAAAGTGGCTGCGTGTAGTTGGCTCGGGGATAGTGATTCTCTCTAAACTGGCTGTATAAGCCTCTGCTCTGGCTTCTCTAGTTGCCTGAATTGAGGGACTCTGGTAATTAGAAGCATTTAACATTTATATTCTCCTTCTGGTTTCTTTCTCAAGCACTCTATCAACCAGTAAACTGTGCAGATTGTTTCCTTACTTTGTTCAAGTGAGATCAAACATCTGCAGGAATTGCCTAGTCTACGGATACCCTAGGCAGCTCTGAATTCTGTATTGGAGCCTTAGGGGCTCCAGTTGGGTTAGAACAGAGCTAAAGACTTAGCCAGAAGCTGAGTCTGTAGAGCAAGCACACTGTTTTGGTGTTTTGGGGAGGGGAAGCTTGTAAAAAGTGCAGATTACTGGGTTCTGCTCCCAAGCGAGGAGATCTTTGGTGGCATCTAGCGATCTGCGCCTTTTACCACTACCCCAGGGGGTTCTGACAGAGTTCATCTGTGGATGACACTTGGAGACAAGTGGTTCTAGTTTGTGTGGAGTACATTTGCTATATAAAATTAATTTTATAAGGAGGGCACAAAAGTGCACTGGTTGAGCTTTTTTGTTGTTGTTGTTGTTGTTAGAAGAATCTTTTTCATTCAGGAAAAAACAAAGCAAAACAAAAAAACATCAAAAAAGTTTTCCAACCACACACAGGAGTGATATGGGTAGGGGAGGTGTCTATCCATCCAGCCCTCGCCTCCAGCCCACGTGGTTTTGGCAGCAATAAGGGGTGTGGCATCATGGCCCCCCCAAAATAAAAATGGTGTATGTGTGTGTATGGGAAGGAGAAGGATGCAAAAGCAGTGGGGAGTGGGGTGGGGAAGGCAGGATGGGTCAGTACTGGGAACGCCGCAGGTGGAAGGCCATTTTATAACATTTCTTATTGATCATACTGCCGTGGACACCTTCTTTGCCCATCAGCAGGACTAGTGTCTTGGCAGCCATGGCGACAGTGATGTTGAAGGTGAGGGCTCTGCCGGTGCTCTTGGTAGGAAGATCCGTGGTAAATTCCCCATCTTGCAGCAGGGAGTCCCGGATCACAGAACGTTTTTGCCCCCAAGTGTCAGCCCATTCACAAAAAACTTGACTGGTCTTTGCCAACCAGGACACCAGCCTCAGCTGGCATGATGTTGACGAAAGTTTTCCTGGGGACGGCGGCCCAGATGGAGGGCGAGTCCTTATAGCCCAGATGGCTGCATCCTGACAGGTCCCGCCTTCCATGAGGTAGCTGATGTAGGCGTTCCCACCGGGCCATGGCGCTGCTGCTGGACTATTCTCTGCGCTGCTGCTGGGGCTGTGGGTGGGCTGGGCTCCGGCTGCCTCGGGCTGGGGGGCGTGGGGGAGGCGAGAGCTTGGGGCATGCGCTGCAGTCCGGACTGTGGCTCTGCCAGCTGTGAGCATTTTTTCGATGATTTTAATTTCTTGCTCCCTGGCAGTAATGAGAAGGTCTGTATACTGACATAAACCTACTTAGCCAATGAATGTGATTTTGGTTGTATCAATCTCTTCAATTAGCCTTTTATCTTTTCCAATATTTTAGATTGTTTTCTTTAAACATTTTTCCAAGTTATGTATTTAATGTTTTTTTAAAATCAGATCTATTACTTTAGTTTAAAATATTACATAAAACATCTCACTAGTATGATTTTTCCCGAAATCAGATAGCAGGCAGTCTTGCATTTGTGTCTAAAAGGTTACTGAGGCTTGAACCAAGTCTCAGTGGGTTTGAATGAGCTAGTCAAGACCTCCCCATGTGTAAAATAACGTGGAATACCTAGGCTGAGAAGCAGCCCCGGTTTCAGTGATCTATTCCAAAAACCAAAAAGACCACCATGGCTTCACAATTTTCATAATGCGCAGTCTAGGTCATTTGAAAGGAAAAAAAAAATTAAATAGTTTGTGCCAAGGTGAATTTTAGTTTGGGCCTAATTTGTATTACACTTCAGGAATGCGAGCAGAAGGCAAATATTTATATCAGATGGGAAATGTGACATTTTAAATAGGCTCTACAAAACTTGTATAGTTTTGGCAGCTGAGAGGTTTATTGATTAGATCCTGTTATTGTTTAAGCAACAGATTGGCCTGGGGCAACAAGGAAGTGAGTTGCCCATTGTTTTTCTGTCATTGACTTCATTTGTTCACCTTATTTGCTTTCATAAATATCCCCCAAATTTAAGGAGCATGATTCTTTCCCAGTGTTTGGATTATCATTTTGGTAGCTTAAATGGACAGTTTCAGAGGAGCCAGCTCAGTGCAGTGGTATTGAACAGTTGTCTCAGGGTAATATTTGCCACAAAGATTGGGATCTTGTGTTTGTTTGACATCTAGTTAACCACTTTTTCCTCCTTTGAATTTGAGATAAGGTAATTAACCTAATGGTTGATTACCATCATACCCCTGACTGTTATCCTACAAAATTACTATTTGGTATAGGTATTAGTTTTTATGCTGAGACCATCAGAGTAGGAAGAATCTTCTAGTCCTCTTTATTTATTTCCCCCTTCAGTTGGCCCAGCCTGTTCTTGGCTGAGTGCAATTGGCTGAAGAGACTTTTTGAGGTCTAGTTCTCAGAATTCTAGTCTTAGAAAAGTCTTTTAGCCAGTAGGTGTATTTATGCTGTGGTTGATTGTGATGGATGATAATGGGCAACTGATTCCTACTCAAAGATTGGCAGCCTTATTTGATTTTCATTTTCAAGCTCTCTAGCACTCCCAATTCTAGTGAAGGTAACAGTCACCTGTTTCTTTCTTTCTTTTTTTTTTTTTTTAATAAATTCTTTCCAAAATTGAAGAAGACACAAAGAAATAGAAAGATATTCTGTGTTCATGGATTGGAAAAATCAACATAGTTAAAATGGCTATTACCCAAAGCAATATATAGAGTTAATGCAATCTCTATCAAAATCCCATGGCTCTTCCCAAAGTACAAAAAAGTAGTCACATTTGTACGGAACCACAAACAACCCCCGAGTAGCCAAACCAATCCTGAGAAAAAAAATAACGACCTGGAGGTATCACATTTCCTGACTTCAAATTATACTACAGAGTGACAATAATCAGTATGGTGTTGGCAGAAAAAACAGACACACAGACCAATGGAACAGAATTGAGAACCCATAAATAAACCCACATATACAGAAGGTGCCAAAAAAATGTATATACATTTTAAGAAAGGAAAACCTGTATGAAAATGTAATACAATGCATGATTTATAGATCTAATTTATAGATTACGTCTCTTAAAACGTGTATACATTTTTTTGGCACCCCTGGTATATGGGCAAATAATTTTCAACAAAAGAGTTAAAAACATACAATGGAGCAAATAAAGCCTCTTCAATAAATGGTACTGGGAAAATTGGGAAGCCACGTGCAAAAGAATGAAACTAGACTGCTGTCTGTCACCATGTACCAAAATTAATCAAAATGGATCAAAGATCTAAATATAAGACCTGAAACAATTAAATACATAGAAGAAAATATAGGTACTAAACTTATAGACCTTGGTCTAGGAGAGACGATTATATGATTTTGACCCCAAAGACAAGGGAAGTAAAAGCAAAAATAAATGACTGGGACTATATCAAACTAAAAATGCTTCTGCTCAGCAGAATAAACTATCAACAAAACAAAGAGGCAACCAACTAAATGGGAGGAGATATTTGCAAACAACACCTCCGGTAGGGAGCTAATATCCAAAATATATAAAGAACTCATACAACTCAACGACAACAAAAAACAAATAATCCAATTAAAAAAAATGGGCAGAAGACCTGAACAGATACTTCTCCCAAGAAGACATACAAACGGCCAACAGATATATGAAACAATGCTGAACTTCACTAGCTATTAGGGAAATGCAAATCGAAACCACAATGAGATACCAACCTCACACCTGTTAGAGTGGCGATCATCAACAAGACAGGTAATAACAAGTGTCGAAGAGGAGATGGAGACAAAGGAACCCTCATACACTGCTGGTGGGAATGTAAACTGGTACAGCCACTATGGAAAAGAGTATGGAGGTTCCTCAAGAAATTAATAGAATTACCATATGACCCAGCAACCCCTCTCCTAGTTATCTACCCAAAAAATCCGAAAACATTTATCCATGAAGATATATGTACC